TTACTGGTCTTTAGCATTTAGAAATTGAGATATTATAATTCACAGGAGCATCCAAAACATGCAATATTTAGAGATAAATTAAACAAACCGTGTAGAAGATCTATTCTCTGATAACTACAAAACACTGCTAAGAGTAATTGAAGAACTAAATAAATGGCAAAAACATACTATGTTATGGATTAAAACTCCAGTATTGTTAACATGACTAGTCTCTCCAAATTAACCTACATATTCAACTTAATCTTATCAAAATCTCAGCATATGTTTATGTTTATCTATCGAGCTGATTCTAAAATTTAAATGAGAATGCAAAGATCTTATAACAGACAAACTAATTTTGAAAATGAATGAAGTTGGAGAAAGTAGATGGCCTGATTTCAATATTTATTATCAAAAAAGTTTGACAATGAGGTAAAATATATAGAGCAACTGAACAGAATAAAGAAGACAGAAATACACTCACATGTATATGGTACTTTATTTTCAAAGTGACAAGGTAACTGAACAAAGAAAGAATAGACTTTTCAGCAAATCATGCTGAAACAGCTTCATAGCCACGTGGAAAAAAATAAACCTTTACCTTTACCTCACATACTAACACAAACTAAGCTGAAACCAAACATAGACCGAAACATAAAAACCAAAATGTTAAAACTTCTACAAGAAAACATAAAAGACAATATGTATGCCCTTTGGGTAAATAAATAGAAACTTCTCAGTTAAGACATGAAACTAGTAAACCACAATAATAATAATAATAAATAAATAAATCAGATTGCATCACATTTTAAAGCTCCTGCTCTGTAAATGACACCTTTAAGAAACAAAATGGCAATCCACAGAATGGGAGAAAATAGTCACAATACATCTGATGAAGAACTTGTACTCAGACTATATAAAGAACTCTTACAATTCAACTATAAGAAAGTAAATAACCCAATTTTTAAATAGAAACTTGAATAGACATTTTATAAAGGAAGATACACAAATTACTAACATGCACATAAAAAACAATTTAATACCACTTAGTCATTAGGAAATGCAAACTAAAGCCACAATAAAATACCATTACACAATCACTTGAATGGCTAAAATTAAAAGGACTGATTATATGTGTTGGCGAGTAATGGATTAATTGAAACTAACATACATGAAAATGGTATCACACCTGTAAAATGGTACAAGCAGTCTGAAAACTAGTTGGGAGATTATCTTTATAAAGTTAAACATACATTTGTCATATGGCCCTGAAATTCCATTCTTAGGAGAAAAGAAATGAAAGAGAAATAAAGCACATATCCAAAGACTTGTGCATGAATGTTCATAGCAGCTTTGTTAATAGTCCCCAAGCAGAAACAACCTGAATGCACATTAATGGAAGAATACATTTTTTAAGATTGTAGTATTCATTCAATGGGATATTATTCAACAATATAAAGGATTAACTACCAATGCACTCAAAAACATAAATGAACCTCAAAAACATTATGCTGAGAGAAGGAAGTCACCCTCCCTATCCACCAAATATATTTCATAATGACTCCTTACATGTGAAACTCTAGGAAAGACAAATGTAATCTACAGTGATAGAAACTATATCAGTTATCTAATCCTGATGGAAGTGGAGATTGAGAACATTTTGCGATAATGGAAATATGATGGTGGTTAGATGGGCATATGTGTGTCAAAACTCATCAGACTGAATGCTTAAAATGTGTGCTCTTTGAAATGATAGTGTTTAAGATGATGGATATGTCATTCTGATCTAATAACTATACATTATATATATCAAAATATCACCTTATACCCATAAATATGTACAATTACTATGTGTCAATTAAAAATAAATAATTAAATGAAAAACAAAACAAAAAATGTCTCCAGGCAGCACTGGGGCTGTCTTGACCCTGGAGGCAAATCTCCTTGGGGGAAAAAAATTCTCCCCAGTTGGGAACGACTGCATAGTCTGCCAGATTGTGTTACAGTGTATGTTATCAGGTACAGAGGTAACCTGCCAATCCAGACCATAATGGGGGATCTGGAGAAACTAGAAGAGCCCTGTGGCCCTAGAAATTTTCTTCAGAAGCTCAGGACAGAGTCCCTCAGGTCCATTGCTCTCTGAGTTCCATCTTCCTGACTTAGGGGGTTCACCTGCTATGCTCCCCATGTATATCAAACATATTCACAATAAAGCTATTTTCTTGTTAAAAATATAAATAAAATGTGTGCATTTTATTATGCCTGAATTACACACCAATAAAGTTGATTTTTTAAAAAAGAAAGATTGGCTCCTAACTGAACTTGAGTGTATGCATTACTTAGGTAGGGTTTATAGTTAGGCTGGGAAGAACCTACATTCTGCACTAAATACCTTTAATTTGCCCAGTTGCATATGAAGCATCTTGTCTTCCAATACCTTTTGTTACAATCAAAGAATGTGGTCTTGAGGATAATTCACAAAGAAGACACATTAAAGGAGTCACTGCCACAGCTAATGAGGAGACTCCCTCTCTCCATCCTTTTAATCATTTCTAGTTGTTCATGGACAAGTCCAACATCAAATATATAGAGGCTTCACTTTAAAGTGTCTCTGGTGCACAGGTAAACTGGGAGAGAAAATATGAGGAAATGAAAGTGACCATAATAGATCACCACCCAAGCAAGGAAGTCTATGGAATCTGAGATAGAGACAATAAGTGTGGTCTAAAATCCAAGACTGCAAGGAAGCTTAGAAGATGAAATATGCCAAGTATAACTTGAGATTGCAATATATAACATAAGGACCTAGAATAGTGTTTCCAAAGAATGGGACAAGTACTGGTGGTGGTACATAAAACTGTTTAAGGGCTGTTTGAGAAAAATTGGGGTGGTAATCAAATATGATATTAAATAACTATTTGAATCACATAATAATTCCTCCTCTCTTATTTTTTCTGATTTTGTATCAAAATGTCTAATTTTCTGGTGTATGTCTTTAACACTTCTTTATTTTAAACAAAGAAAACACAAAATACCTAACTGGAATGGAGAAACATTGCTTTCTTGTTTGTTTACACAGTTATCTTCAATTTAGGGGAAGTAAACTGATTTTTAGTTTGTGGTAATGATACTAAGTTTCTATAAAAGAAATGTTTTTCAGTTAAAAAAAAAAAGAAAGGTAGTTATGATTTTCAGCATCTGACATGATAGAGTAGGTAGGTGTCTTGTTAACCAGTTTTTCATAGTTCTGGGTAGTTGCATGTACATATGTGCATATACTGACCAAAATAAAATCAGAGCCTCAACTGGTAGTTTACTCAAAATTTCTGGGCAGATAGTCCAAAACAGCTGTTTATACCTCTGAAGGCAGTATGACTGGTTAAATTGGGAAATAGTTCTGAAGGCTTAAGAAGTAGGTTCTGCATTAGCCAGGCAGTAATGAAGCTAGGCAGCCACTTAGCAGCTCTGGCTCACAATGTTGTGCTGGATATCGCAGTTTTGAGAGATCAAGTGCAGATATAAGGATTTCAGAAAAAAGGAATTTGACACCAAATAAATGTGAGTGGCATCCTTTGGTCTGTCAGGTAAAGTCAGGATACAAAGGTACTGAGTTCCAGAAGTGAATGAAGAAGGCAGTGCTGTGCCTGGCCCCTCATTCATGAGTGTGACCCTGAGCAATCACGGGCACCTAGCAACTCAGCACCGGCTGGGCCGGTGGCTTAACCTCGGCTATCCCCTGACCCTGGGAACAGACTCCATGGGGCCTTCGGGTCTGCTGGGTTTGCTTTTGTTTTTACACTCCATGCAGATAGTAGAAATCTCAGTTCTAAAGCACTTTTGTGAAATACAAGTGAAGTGTGGATTCTAAGAAAATGGTTTGGTTTCTGCTGTCTCAAATATTAATATGTGGCATTTAAAAGCAATTGTTAATAAATATTTTCAATGGTTTTAAAAAATAAAAATTTTAAAAGATAATTAAAAAAACAATAATGATAACTTAAATGATAATTATTCACAAAACGTGTAGGCAACATTTCATGCAGACTCTCTTCTGAGTATGAGTTTTGTTGTTGTTGTTGTTTGTATTTATTTGGTTGTACTTTCTTTTGAGGAAGGAGATAGTTCACTGGAAATAAAGGAACTTCTTGTTACAAAAAAAAGGAAGTTAGTTTATAAAAATAATTTGTAAAAATACTACAGTGGTATATTGACATATTGGTATATTGATATGAACACCCGAGACTGGATTGCAGTGTCTTAAAATGCCAATTTGTAAGGAAGTGTATGTAAATATATTAATATATTAATATGCATTAAATTATTACTGTATTAAAATATTAAATAAAATTCATTGGTAGGACCATTTTCATACCACAAACTAGTTTTTAATTCAGAATTATATGTCTTTTAATGTCTCCCAATGTTTCAGATTCCAGGTTGCTGATAAAAGGCCAGACTAGGATTTTAGTATATTATAAATGGGATAAAGAACTATACAACTAGGCCAAAGGTAGGGAAATATTTGAACAACAATGCAGGGTCAAATTCCATTCTGCATCTATTTCTCTGCTAATGAATGTCCTCACTTGAATGTGGGTAGATGAAGAAGATATACAGAGGGTACCTCTGGGGGGAAAAAATTAATTCTGTCCCCATAGATGTTGGCCATCTACTATTTTTAGTTTTGTTCTCTTCTTTTTTTTTTTTTTTCTTGGTGCACATCTCAAATGAAAATTTACATTTTAGCTTAGATCCATTAATCACTTCAAGAAACACAATTCATGCTGACAAATTTCTTCAAAATTTTTGTTATGCTGCTGTCAATGTTTTGACAGTGACGTATATATTTTTTTTAAATCAGCCTCAGCTATGCTTTGCAAGTGTTACCAGCCAAAATAAAAAAGAGAACCGTAAAACAGATTGTCTTATTTAAAGAAACACAAGGTAGTTTGATTTATACCATGCTTACAGTTTCCCAAGAGTAAAATTAAATTTGGAATTAACAAAGATAAACCTCTTACCTGTTGGAAGGTGCAGTGTTATATTGTTGCAAAAATCTGTGAAGCAGCATTCTGTTTTGGTAACATTGTTGGAACTATGACAAAAGACTTGAGCATTCAATTCTGGGAGGGAGACACAGGATTTAATCACCTGTTCTTTTCCATTGGTTCGCATGACTGATGCCCAACATGCTCCTTCTGTTTGGCAGGTAAAGTTTGAAGAGTCACACAAAAGGCATACACACTTCAATCCTAGAAAGAGGAAGGCAAAAAGTTTTAAAATACAAAAGAGATCACATAAATTTATTTGATAATACTTGAGAATCGAAATTCAATTTTAATAAAATTGGAGAAGGCTTTAAATTGACAGCACTTGACAAACACATGCTAATGTTCTTACTCCCTCCTTGTCATGTGTTTCTCTAAATAGGCTGCCCAACTATTAGTTACTATTGCTATTATTTTTGCAAATGTATTCAGTTGCTACTATATTTTAAAATATTTTCCACATCCATGCTCTAAATCCCTCCTTCGAAGCTCAATCAGCTCATTCCTAAATCAATAGCTACTAGGAAATGCTAGGAAACAGTATCACAGCAACCAAGGGGAGCTGTCCAGCATTACTTGTAGAACATTGAAGTGTGGTTACTGAAGCTGTGTAACCAAACAGTCTAGTGTGTCCTGCTCATTTATCCTTCTTCCAATAAACTTTTAAGTAAATGCACAAAACACAAAACTAACCATAGATATTTATATCTCTTATAAATGGTTGTCACTCTTTATATTTATTTTCTATGATATTTTAGCATAATTGTTATTATTGTAGTTCCTTTAAGGCACTGATGAGCTATCATACTTCTCCTCCTCACTATGAAGCATACTTTAGAATAAGAGTAATTTAACATAGACCATGACCTTCAGGTAAATAATTTCCTTAATGCACATCTATTCCATAAAGCAAAGCACACAAATATTAGAATTTAATATATCTATACTAATAAAACTTTTAAAAATTACACTTTGATAAACCAATCGGTTCATTTCCACATATCTTCTCCAACGTTTCACACTTACTACACACACATGCACAAACACACTAGTTCACATGTTCAAAGTGGTGCAGTATTTCTGTTTTGATGTAAAATATTGTCTATGGTCACACCACCATGAATGTGCCCAATTTTGTCTTCTCCAAAATATTTGTCAGCATGATGAGTTCAGTGGTTATGAGCAATTTATTAAAATTTTATTTAAATATATTCTTTCTAAATAGTAAATAGGTTTGTGTTATTGCTTTAATAAACCTTGCATTAAACTATAACTGTTTCCCCACAATTATCTGAATGTCCAAATTTTTGCCATACAATCATTGTTATTAAAATTAAAGCCTTTACATTGCTAATCACTAAAATTGGAGGTGATTCTATGCCTGTAAAATATTTGATATATAAATGATGACTTTTACTTATTGACAACTTTTACTTAACTTCAAATAACAATATGGGAGCAAAAATAAGTAATATTCCCATATAACTGGACATGTAAGAAAGAACAAATTACATATCAATAAAAAATTATTCTCTTTTATCAATAATTTTTCCTGACTGGTGAAATACCATTCTTATACACATTTTTATTACTTGTAATAAAATAGGAAACACAATTCTAAAATACCATCTTGTTATCAACATTGGACCAAATATAATAGCCCACTTTTTTATTTACTCCAATGGTGATCAATATAAATAAATATACTCAGTATTCATCAGCATTTATGTGCTACAGTAGAATCATATAGTCTAGGTTGATTAGGACTTCATAGAGCTAGATATATAAAAGCTAATGTTTTAGAAAATGTGTTAAGGCACTTTCCTTTCTCATATAGTGAGCATCCATTCACCCAAGTGTCTACTGACACTGGATTCTAACATTTTTCAGTTCCAATCTGACACAGGCCTTCATATCATGATTATACTGGCTTTATAATCTTAGGCTTTTTTTGCCCCTTTGTGTCTCCATTTTCTTATATGAAAGATTAGAATAACAATAACAGACCTCTTTAGTATTGTTGTGGAGAATAAATTAGTTAATCTATGTAAAACTTTTAGACCAATGTCTGGCACATAGGAAGTACTATATAAACATTAGTGACTATCTTTCCTACTACTAAAGGAGGTAAAGCCTTATGCAAACAATAGAAATACATTTGTATTCCACAAAGGAATAGCTGAATGAAAAGAGTGCAGAGACCATTTAAAAGGCATAACAAATAAATGCATCTCTTTCTGCTCTGCCAAGAGTGATTTGAATGCTCTCATTCTTTTAATGATCTAGGCTAGATTCTAGACAGCCACACAGCAGGTGGTGTCTGGCGATGATCCAGACAAAGAATTCAAGAAAAGACGAAGGTCTCAGCCATCACGCTAACACTAACTTACTGATTGACTTTGGAGAAGACATTTACCCTTATAGAACCTCAGCGCTTTCCTCTGAAAAATGAAAAGTGAACTGTGTAGAAGCACTGGGTCCAGAAATCTTAAATTATCATGTACCACCACCATCTTATGACTATAAATTGACAACTTATGGAAATCTACAATTACAACATTTGGAAAACTCAACAAGAAACTCGCTCCATTCTTCAGCCTTATATTTTAAGGGGCTGAAAGTGGAAAGAAGAGTAACTCTCCTGACACACAATCTCAAACCATTTGTCACTAGACTTTTCATCAATCTCCTTGAATTTTCCATTTCCAAGAGAAGTTTGGCCAGGAAATCAAGGCAACTAACTAAGAAATATAGACCTACCAAGTGAAAATAATCATAAATTACTCAACAATTAAACATGTTAGCTTCATGTACATTCATCATCACATATAATTCCCAGTGCAACTGTGGGAGTTAGTTGTCGCGATCTCCATTTCATAGATAACAAAATGAGGCTCAAAAAGATCAAGTGACTCACTTAATATAAGTCTTTAGTCTACTCAGGGGATGTTGTTTCTATCCCATAAAAAAAAGATGAATACACACAAACCATTCTCCTAATCCAACACTGTCTAGCAATTATGAATAAAATATTCAAATATGGCAGAAATAAATTAATTAGTAAATGACAATTGAGATTTTGATCTATATTGTCCTGTTAATCTTTACACAGTTGTTTGTTTGAGTTGGAGTCTCACTCTGTCGCATAGGCTGGAGTGCAGTGGAATCATCATGGCTCACTGCAGCCTGGATTTCCTGGCTCAGGTGCTCCTTTCACCTCAGGCTCTCAAGTAGCTGAGACTACAGGCACAGGCCACCATGCCAAGTTAATTTTTTTTTTTTTTTTTGTAGAGATGAGGTCTCACTATATTGGCCAGGCTGGTCTCGAACTCCTGATCTCAAGTGATCCTCCCACCTCACTTTCCAAAATGCTGGGATTACAGGTACAAGTCACTGTGCTCAATCCACCATTGGTGTTTTTTAAACAAATTCTAACTACCTATTTTCTGAGGAAACAGGTGTTCAAAATAATATCATATGCCTTGCATCGAGAATAAATAACCTCACCTTTCAGCTTATCTAACTTCTTTATTAAGTAAACCTCTAAGTGCCTAACCTGATACTTTCTCTCCTTATAAAAATGATTTCATAATAGTTCTTATCAAGCAATAATGTGGATATTCATTGAATGTTTAACAAGTTATAAAAATTTCCTTCAGTTTAAAGTAAAAGGTACAAATCATAAGAATAATATAGACTTAGGTGAGACATTTAAGACATAGAAAATGACACCTTACTTTAAATCTTGCATGATGGAAAACACTGGCAAAATTGAGGAGTTGTTAATGATAATGACTTCAAACATCTGCTAAATGTTCCAATTTATTCCAGGTCAATTGTTAGTACTATAACACTGACAGAGAACAAACAGCAAACTAAATAGGACCTAAGATGAATAAGTAACATACGACATATTCAGTCTCTCATTTTTCATTTCCCACCAGTTCACTATATTATCACATTTGACATACAATTAAACCATACTTATATCAACTGTCATCTACATAGAACCTTTGTGCTTCTGATTAAAATATGTTGCCATTAGTGATATACTTATGCTTTCATATTTTGTTGTTTTTTAAAAAAAACTGATGTCAATTGAGTCAGTTAAGCTGGAATATCCTACAACAGGATAAATCTGGTTGTTAATAAATAGTAGTCCTGCCTTATGTTTCTTTATTTTATACTTTACCATTACAAGGTACTTGAATCATATAGAAAGGGACAGTAAATGAGGTTGAAGAAGAAAACAATTATTCATAATAAGGAGGTTTAAGATTTTTTTTCCCCACAAGGAAGATTGTACTTTTTTTGTGTCTCCTCCCACCTCTTTAATTACCCCCCTTCCCTCCTCTTTGCCAATTAGTCTGTAAAAGGCAAGACATCTGTTACCCACAAGACATCTGTTACCCACATCCACTAAAGGATGTGCACATTCCTAACCAACCAGAAAATAAATTTTTATCCATATTTACATATGATGGCTAGCACATCCTGGTGTCCAGAAACATAAAAGCTATCAGACTACAAAAAAAAGAAAGAGCCAAATTTATTAATTTGCATTTATATGTTATTCTTATTCAAAAACCATATATTTGGTTGGCAAATATTAATTGATTTGATTAGATACTGTTTTCAATCATTGGTTACATATTACCTAGGTTGTCTATTTTTTGGGTCTGTATAGTAAAATTGGACATTGCTTAGCATAAACATCTCACATACTCTTTCTTCTTTCCCAGACATTAGTTTATTCAATTTCTCTAATTTTAGACCAGGCTACAAAATACATTTTTTTAAAATTCAGAAAACTGTCTCAGATTTGACCTGCTGTATATGTAATCTTTTCATCATTTGCAGGCTTCTATGTTAACAAAGGGAACAATTCAAGCTTTTCAGTGTGCTGAATATGAAAAGTACAGCAACAGGAAATAAGCCAGGAAAACTAGCTCTAATAAATCTGAAGAAAAGCCAGACAGGGTCAAAGGAAATCAGGCAAGGATCTATCTTCCCTTTCTATTCCTTGTCAAAATTTTATTGTCTCGTCATGCGGTCATATCAAAGCATTTGCTTTGCTTTTCTTAATGATAAGCGGAAAGAAAATAGAGGAAGAAAGTAGCGTTCATAAAATAAAAATGCAAACTTTTCAGCCAAATGAGTTTCCAATAGAGATTCAGCCTGTGGAAGTTCTATTTGCCAGGTTT